AGCCACCGACGGACGGACGGACGGACGGAGGGACAGAGACACGGACAGAGAGACACGGGGACAGACGGGGGGACAGACGGACAGACACACAGGCAGACAAATATGGGGACAGGCAGAGGGACGGACGGACGGACACGGGGACAGAGAAGCAGAGAGAGGGACGGACACACGGACACGGGGAGACAGGGACGGACGGACGGACAGAGAGACACAGAGAGGGACGGACATGGGGACGGACACAAGGACAGACAGACAAACGCAGGGACACAGGAATAGACAGACAGCCGGACAGACAGACAGAGAGAGACAGAGAGGGACGGACACGGGGACGGACAGAGGGACAGATGGACACGGGGACACAGGGACGCGAGGACAGACAGACAGACACGGGGGACAGAGAAGACAGACACACGGACAGACACAGGGGCAGAAAAACAGAGACAGGGACAGACAGACAGATGGACAGCAGGGTCAGGGCGGAGCCCCACCCGGAACTGCCCCAAAAAAAACAAAAAAAAACCTGCCCCAAAACCTCAGAAACTGCCCCAAAAATCACCCCAAAAACCCCAAATCCATGAATTTAACCCCGTACTTTCCGCACTGGTATTTCCTGCACCCCAAACCCCCAGAAATTACCCCAAAAAACCCCAAATCCCACAAAAATGACCCCAAAACCCCCAAAACCCGTGAATTTAACCCCGTACTTTCCGCACTGGTGCCGCAGGTGCTTCCGGTACCCCAAACCCCAGAACAAAAACCCCAAAAAACCCAAAACTCACAAAAATTACCCCAAAACCCCCAAGTTTCACAAAAATTACCCAAAATTTCATTAAAAATACCCCAAAACCCCCCAAAATTCTGGTTTTTAACCCCATACTTTCCGCCCTCCAGAACCCCAAATCCCACCTGAAATGACCCAAACCCACCCAAGATGACCCAAACCCAACCCAAAATGACCCCACACCCACCTGAGATGACCCCAAAAGATCTCCAGAACCCCAAATCCCACCCGAATTGACCCAAACCCACCCAAACTAACTCAAACCCACCCAAAGTGACCCAAACCCACCTGAAATGACCCAAAACCCCTCCAGAACCCCAAAACCCACCTGAACTCACCCAAACCCACATGAAATGGCCCCAAACCCACTGGAGATGACCCCAAAAACTCTCCAGAACCCCAAAACCCACCTGAAATGACCCAAAACCCACCCAAAATGACCCAAACCCACCCAAATATCCCCAAAGATCTCCAGAACCCCAAAACCCACCTGAAATGACCCCAAACCCACCCAAATATCCACAAAGATCTCCAGAACCTCAAAACCAACCTGAAATGACCCAAACCCACCCAAGATGACCCAAACCCAACCCAAAATGACCCCACACCCACCTGAGATGACCCCAAAAGATCTCCAGAACCCCAAATCCCACCCGAATTGACCCAAACCCACCCAAACTAACTCAAACCCACCCAAAGTGACCCAAACCCACCTGAAATGACCCAAAAACCCTCCAGAACCCCAAAACCCACCCTAGAGGAGCAAAAGATCTCCAGAACCCCAAAATCCACCTGAAATGCCCCCAAACCCACCCAAAATGACCCAAACCCACCTGAAATGACCCAAAAACCCTCCAGAACCCCAAAACCCACCCTAGAGGAGCAAAAGATCTCCAGAACCCCAAAATCCACCTGAAATGCCCCCAAACCCACCCAAAATGACCCAAACCCACCTGAAATGCCCCAAACCCACCCAAGATGACCCCAAAGATCTCCAGAATCCCAAAACCAACCTGAGATGACCCAAATCCACCTGAGAATGACCCCAAACCCACCCAAAGTGGCCCAAAAAACCTCCCGACCCCCAAAACCCACCCAAAATGACCCAAACCCACCCAAAATTACCCCAAACCCCACCCAAAATGACTCAAACCCACCCAAAATTACTCCAAACCCACCCGAGATGACCCAAAAGATCTCCAGACCCCAAAACCCACCCAACACAACCCAAAACACCCCAAAATCCACCCAAAACGCCCCAAAACCCCCCAAAGCGCCCCCAAACCCGCGCGCGGCTCACCGGGGGTCAATGGGGAACCAATGGGATCAATAGGGAATCAATGGGATCACTAGAGAACCAATGGGGTCAATGGGATTAATGGTCAACGAAGGATCAACGGAATCAACGTTGGGTCAACTCAACCAACGGTCAGTGGGGGGTCAACAAGGTCAACACGGAATCAACGGGATCAACGATCAATGGAGGATCAACGAGATCGACACTGGGTCAACTCAACCAACGGCCAATGGGAAATCAACGTTGGGTCAACACGATCAACGGTCAATAGGGGTCAACGCAGTCAACATCTGGTCAACGGAATCAATGTTGGGTCAACTGAACCAACGGTCAATGAGAAGTCAACGAGACCAACGTGCAATCAACGGGATCAATGATCAATGGAGGATCAATGACGTCAACGTTGGGTCAACTGCATCAATGGTCAATGGGGGGTCAACAAAGTCAACACTGAGTCAACTGAATCAATGGTCAACAGATGGTCAATGACATCAACGTTGGGTCAACGGAATCAATGGTCAATGGGGGGTCAACGAAGTCAATATTGGGTCAACTGACTCAACGGTCAACGGGGGATCAACAAAGTCAACGCTGTGTCAAGAGGATCAACGTTCAATGGGCAGTCAACGAAGTCAACATTGGGTCAACGGGATCAATGGTCAATGGGGGGTCAACGATCACCCAAAATGACCCAAACCCACCCAAAACGCCCCAAAACCCACCCAAAACCCTCCGAGACGACCCCAACCCCCCCCAAGATGACCCAAACCCACCCAAAACACCCCAAACCCACCCAAGATGACCCAAACGATCTTCAGAACCCCAAAACCCACCTGAAACAACCCAAATCAATCACAAATAACCCCAAACCCACCCAAGATAACCCAAAAGACCTCCACAACCCTAAAACCCAACTGAAATGACCCAAAACTCATCCAAAATGACCCCAAACCCCCCCAAGATGACCCAAACCCTCCCAAAACTACCCCAAACCCACCCGAGATGACCCAAAAGACCTCCAGAACCCCAAAACCCACCCGAAACACGCCAAAACCCACCCAAAACGCGGAACCAATGGGGTCAGCAGGGGATCAATAGGATCAATGGGGAACCAATGGGGTCAGCAGGGGATCAATAGGATCAATGGGGAACCAATGGGGTCAAAGGGGGATCAATAGGATCAATGGGGAGCCAATAGGATCAGCAGGGGATCAATAGGATCAATGGGGAACCAATGGGGTCAGCAGGGGATCAATAGGATCAATAGGATCAATGGGGCATCAATGGCAAACCAATACAATCAATGATGAACCAATGGGATCAATGAGGAACCAATGGGGTCAATGCGGATCCAATGGGATCAATAGAGGATCAATGGGGTCAACTGGGAACCAATGGGATCAATAGGGGATCAATGGGGGATCAATGGGGAATCAATACGATCAACGAGGAACCAATGGGATCAATGAGGAACCAATGGGATCAATAGGGAGCCAATGGGGTCAATGGGGAATCAATGGGATCAATAGGGAATCAATGGGGTCAATGCGGGACCAATGGGATCAATGAGGAACCAATGGGATCAATGGGGAATCAATGAGGTCAACGGGGAACCAATGAGGAATCAATGGAGTCAACAGGAAACCAATGGGGTCAATGGGGAACCAATGGGATCAATAGAAGATCAATGGAATCAATAGGGAACCAATGGGATCAATAGAGGATCAATGGGGAGCCAACGGGGTCAATGGGGTCAAGGAAGGATCAATGGAACCACCATTGGGCCAACTCAACCAATGGTCAACGGGGAGTCAATGAGACCAACGTTGGCTCAACGCAATCTATGGTCCATGGGGGGCCAACGAAGTCAACGTTGGGTCAACTCCATCAATGGTCAAGGAAAGGTCAACAAGGTCAAGATCTGGTCAACAAACTCAACGTTGGGTCAACTCAATCTACGGTCAACGAGGGGTCAACGAAGTCAATACTGGGTCAACGGAATCAACGGTCAATGGGGGGTCAACGAAGTCAACGTTGGGTCAACTGAGTCAATGGTCAGTGGGAGGTCAACAAGGTCAACATCTGGTCAGTGAAGTCAACGTTGAGTCAGCTGAATCTATGGTCAGTGAGGGGTCAATGAAGTCAACGTTGGGTCAACGGTCAATGGGCGGTCAACGACACCAATGTTGGGTCAACTCCATCAATGCTCAATGAAAGGTCAACAAACTCAACATTGGGTCAATGAAGTCAACATTGACCCAATGACATCAATGTTGGGTCAAGGGAATCAATGGTCAATGAGAGGTCAACGAAGTCAACGTTGGGTCAAGGGAACCAATGGTCAATGGGGGGCCAATGACATCAACGTTGAGCCAATCGGATCAACGGTCAACAGTGGGTCAACTAAGTCAACGTTGGGTCAACTGAGCCAACAGTCAATGAAAGGTCAACAAAGTCAACGTTAGGTCAATGAAGTCAACGTTGAGCCAATGGGATCAATGGTCAATGGGGGGTCAACGAGCTCAACACGGAGCCAACGGCGTCACCAACGCTCAACGGGGACAACAAGAGGTCAAGGCAAGACGTTGGCCAACGCGGGGTCACCGAGAGGCCACCGCAGACCCCGGCCCACCCCGGGGGTCCCCGCGCCCACCCGTAGACCATCAGGTGCTTCTCCACGCGGACGCAGTCGCTCCTGGCGAAGGGCGCGGGCGCGGCGGGGGCGGGCGGCGCGGCGGGGCCGTGCTGGTGGCCGTGCTGGTGGCCGCCGCGCCGCGGCCGGCCGGCCCGCTCCAGCCGCTCCAGGTCGTCGTCGCTGTCCAGGTCCGAGAACTCCACCAGGTCGTCGTCGCGCAGCGTGCTGAAGTGGCGCGTCTGCTTGCGCACGCGCGGCGTGTCGATCACCAGGTTGTTCTGCGTGGACACGGGTGGACAGCGGTCAGTGACCACCTGGTGACCACCAGGTGACCACCAAGTGACCGCCAGGTGGCCACGCCCACCCGACCCCACCCAGGACCTAATTTGGAGTTTCTCTTTCCGCACGCGCGATGCGTCAATGACCAAATTCTTCTGAGTGGACACAGGTGGTCAGTGACCACGAAATGACCCCCAGATGACCACCAGGTGACCACGCCCACCTGACCACGCCCACCTGACCCCACCCAGGTGTCAAAGTTGAGTTTCTCCATCCGCGTCGACGACCCAATCGTTTTGGTCGCTCTGCTTGACCATGCCCACCCAGATGACCACGCCCAGGTGACCACACCCAGATGACCATGCCCAGGAGGCCCCGCCCACCCAGGAGGCCCCGCCCACCTTGCTGTTGAGCAGCTCCAGGTCCAGGTCGGCCTTCTTGGCCCACTTCTGCCAGAAGTTGGGGTCGTCCAGCGCGATATCCGTGCGGTTCTCCGAGGCCACGAAGCTGGCCTGGGGGCGGGGGGGGACGGTCACTCACCTGGGGGCACCTGGACACACCTGGGGGGCCTCCAGGACCTCCCAAGGTCACCTGGAGATCCACCAGGACCTCCAAAAGTCACCTGGAACTTCTCCAGGACCACCAAAAATCACCTGGAGATCCACCAGGACCTCCCAAGGTCACCTGGAGATCCACCAGGTACGCCAAAGGTCACCTGGAGATGCTCCAGGGCCACCAGGGATCAGCTGGAGCTTCTCCAGCACCACCAAAAACCAACCTGGATCTTCCTCAAGACCACCCAGTCCCACCTGGACCTGAATTTGGAGCCTCCGCCTCCTCCAGGAACCTCCTCGGTGGCCCCCAGCCCCACCTGGACACACCTGGACCTTCTCCAAGACCACCAGAAGCCATGTGGACCTTCTCTAGGACCACCAAAAATCATCTAAATCTTGACTTGGGGTCTCCACCCCCTCAGGAAACCTCCCTGGTGGCCACCCAACCCCACCTGGACCTTCTCTAGGACCACCAAAAATCATCTAGATCTCAATTTGGGACCTCCAGCTCCTCCAGGACCCTCCCTGGTGGCCTCCAGCCCCACCTGGACACACCTGGACCTTCTCTAGAACCTCCAGAGATCACCTACACCCACCTAAACCCACTTGGATCTTCTCCAGATCCACCAAAGCCCACCTAGACCCGTATTTGGAGCCTCCATCTCCCCCAGGAACCTCCCTGGTGGGCACCCAACCCCACCTGGACCTTCTCCACAACCACCAAAAATCATCTAGATCTCAATTTGGGACCTCCAGCTCCTCCAGGACCCTCCCTGGTGGCCTCCAGCCCCACCTGGACACACCTGGACCTTCTCCAGGACCACCAAAGCCCACCTAGACCCGTATTTGGAGCCTCCATCTCCTCCAGGAACCTCCCTGGTGGGCACCCAACCCCACCTGGACCTTCTCCACAACCACCAAAAATCATTCAGACCCAAATTTGGGGTCTCCACCTCCTCCAGGACCCTCCCTGGTGGCCCCCAGACCCACTCGACTCCACCTAGACCTTCGCCAAGACCACCTGGACACACCTGGACCTTCTCCAGGACCACCAAAGCCCACCTAGACCCAAATTTGGGATCTCCACCTTCTCCAGAACCCTGCCTGGTGGCCACCAGCCCAACCTAGACACACCTGGACCCACCTGGACCTTCTCCAGGACCACCAAACCCCACCTAGACCCGAATTTGGGGTCTGCACCTCCTCCAGGAACCTCCCTGGTGGCCACCAGCCCAACCTAGACACACCTGGACCCACCTGGATCTTCTCTGGAACCACCAAAAATCATCTAGATCTCAATTTGGGGTCTCCACCTTCTCCAGGACCCTCCCTGGTGGCCACCAAACCCACTCAACTCCATCTAGACCTTCTCCAAGACCACCTGGACCCACCTGGATCTTCTCTGGAACCACCAAAAATCATCTAGATCTCAATTTGGGGTCTCCCCCTCCTCCAGGAACCTCCCTGGTGGCCCCCAGCCCCACTCGACTCCACCTAGACCTTCTCCAAGACCACCTGGACCCACCTGGACCTTCTCCAGGACCACCAAAGCCCACCTAGACCTGGATTTGGAGTCTCCATCTCCTCCAGGAACCTCCCTGGTGACCACCAAAGCACCCCCTGGATCTTCTCTAGAACCACTAGAGATGACCTAAACCCACCTAAACCCACCTGGATCTTCTCCAGGACCACCAAAGCCCACCTAGACCCGAATTTGGGATCTCCACCTTCTCCAGGACCCTGCCTGGTGGCCACCAAACCCCACCCAGACCTGGATTTGGGGTCTGCACCTCCTCCAGGGCCCTCCCCGGTGCCCCCGGCCCGTGGTGGCACCTTGGCGAAGGTGGAGCCCTTGCCCTCGCTCTCGATGGTGATGGTGGTGGTGCGGCGCAGCAGGATCTGCTCGATGTCCTCCTCGCAGAACTTGGCGCCCTCGTCGTCCTCGTCCATGATGGCGGCGTAGGCGCCCTTGCGCAGCAGGTCCTCGATCTCCTTCTTGGAGAACTGCTGGATCTGGGGGGCAGGAGAGGGGTTGGGACACTCGGGGTGGGGACGGGGCACCCCGAGGTCCTTCAAACGCGTCTGGAAGAACTTTGGCACGGAAAACCTCAACCTGGAGAACTTCAACCTGGAGAACTTCAACCTTGAAGAACCTCAGCTTGCAGAACCTTGACCTGAAGAACCTGGACAACCTCAACCTGGACAACCTCAACTTGAAAAACCCCAATTCTGAAGAACCTCAATTTGAAGACCATCAGCTTCGAAGAACCTCAACTTTGAAAAACATCAACTTCAACAACGCTGACTTCGAAAAACCTCAACTTCAAGAACCCCAATTTTAAAGAACCTCAACTTAGTAGAATCTGAACTTGAAGAACCCCAACTTGGAAGAACCTAGAGAACCTGAACTTTGAAGAACCTCAGCTTTGAAGAACCTCAGCTTCGAAAAACCACAACTTCGAAGAACCTCAATATGAAGAACCCCAACCAGGAGAACCTCAACTTTGAAAAACCTTAACTTGAAGAACCTCAACTTTCAAGAACCCCAACCTGAAGATACTCAACTTTGAAGAATCTCAACCTTGAAGAACCTGAACTTTGAAGAACTTCAACTTGGAGAACCTAGAGAACCCCAACCTTGAGGAACCAGAAAACCTCAACTTTGAAGAACCTCAACTTCAAGAACCCCAGCTTTGAAGAACCTCAACTTTTAAGAACCTCAATTCTGAAGAACCTCATCTTTGAAAAACTTCAACTTGAAAAACCCCAACTTTAAAGAACCTGGAGGACCTCAACCTTGAGGTACCAGGAAAACCTCAACCTTGAAGAACCTCAACTTGAAGAACCCCAACTTTGAAGAACCTCAACTTGAAAAACCTCAACTTGAAGAACCTCAACTTTCAAAAACCTCAATTCTGAAGAACCTCAACTTGAAAAACCCCAACTTTGAAGAACCTCAACTTTGAAGAACCTGGAAAACCCCAACCTTGAGGAACCAGAAAACCTCAACCATGAAGAACCTCAATGCTGAAGAACCTCAACCTTGAGGAACCTCAACTTTAAAAAACCTCAACTGTGAAGAACCTCAACTTGAAGAACCTCAACTTGAAGAACCCTAACTTTGAAAAACCTCAACTTTGAAAACCTCAACTTTTAAAAACCTCAATTCTGAAGAACCTCAACTTTGAAGAACTTCAACCTTGAAGAACCTCAGCTTGAAAAACCTCAACCTTGAAGAACGTCAACTTTGAAGTACCTCAACCTTGAAGAACCTCAACTTGAAGAACCTCAACCTTGAAGAACCTCAACTTAAAGAACCTCAACTTGAAGAACCTCAACTTTGAAGAACCTCAACTCCCAAGAACCTCAACTTCAAGAACCTCAGTTTCAAGAACCCCAACTTTGAACAACCTCAATTTTCAAGAACCTCAATTTGAAGAACCTCAGCTTTGAAGAACCTCAACTTTCAAAAATTCCAACTTTAAAGAACCTCAACCTTGAAGAACCCCAACTTTGAACAACCTCAATTTTCAAGAACCTCAATTTGAAGAACCCCAACTTTGAACAACCTGAACTTTGAGGAACCTCAACCCTGAAGCACCTCAACCCTGAAGAACCCCAACTTCCAGCCCCCCACCCTCGCGCCCCCGGCCGCGTCCCGGTGCCGGCGCTGACCCCGGCGATGCTGCCCTCGCGGCCGCTCATGGACTGCAGCACGGCCTTGTCCAGGCCCAGCTTCAGGCTGGCCTTGTCGAACATCTCGCGCTCGTACGAGTTGCGCGTGATCAGCCGGTAGACCTTCACCGCCTTGCTCTGCCCGATGCGGTGGCACCGCGCCTGCGCCTGCGGGACACGGGGACGTCACCCGGGGAACTCCTGGGACCCCAAAGCCCTGGTGGACCCCGCCAGGACCTCAAATCCCACCCCAGGAACCCAAAGCCTTGGTAGATCCCATCCCACGATCTCCAACTCCTGGACAACCTCATCTCGTGACCCCCAAGTCCATCCCATGATCCCAAAGCACTGGTGGACCCCAAAGCCCCGGGACCTCAAATCCCACCCCAGGAACCCAAAGCCTTGGTAGACCCCATTCCATGAGCCCAAAGCCTTGGTAGATCCCATCCCATGATCTCTAACTCCTGGAAAACCTCCTCTCATGACCCCAAACCCCACCCCAACCACCCCAAACCCTCAGCACAAACAAAAGCGTGGACCCCAAAGCCCCGGGACCTCAAATCCCACCCCAGGAACCCAAAGCCTTGGTAGATCCCATCCCGTGATCTCCAACTCCTGGAGAACCTCATCTCGTGACCCCCAAGTCCATCCCATGATCCCAAAGCCCTGGTGGATCCCAAAGCCCCGGGAGCTCAAATCCAACCATGTGATGAGGAACCCTTGGTAGATCCCATCCCATGATCTCCAAGTCCTGGAGAACCTCATCTCACGATCCCAAAACCCAAAACTCCAAACCCCTGGTGGACCCTGTCCCAGGACCCCAAATCCCACCCCAGGACCCCAAAGCCCTGCTGGACCCCATCCCATGATCTCCAACTCCTGACTCATGACCCCAAACTCCATCCCATGCGCCCAAACCCCTAGCAGATCCCATCCCACCACCCCAAACCCTTGGGAGACCTCATCCCATGACCCCAAAACTTTGGTAGATCCCATCCCGTGACCTCCAACTCCTACAGAACCTCATCTTGTGACCCCAAACCCCACCCCAACCACCCCAAACCCTCAGCAGACCCCATCCCACCACCCCAAACCCCATTCCAAGACCTCAAACCCCTGGTGGACCCCATCCCATGATCTCCAACTCCTGGAGAACCTCATCTCATGACCCCAAAGTCCATCCCATGACCCCAAACCCTTGGTAGACCCCATCCCACCCCCCCAAACTTCATCCTGTGACCCCAAACCCTTGTTAAATCCCACCCCATGACCCAAAACCCTCTGCAGACCCCATCCCACCACCCCAAACCCCTGCTAGACCCCACCTCCGGTCGATGGCCGCCTGCCGCAGGTTGCCGCGCACGCGCCCGTCGATGCGCTCGTACGGGTACCTGGGGCGGGGGGACGCCACGGGGTCACCGTGAAGGTCCCCAGCTCCATAACCACCTCCGAGACCAACTCTGGGTCTGGGGAAGTCACCAAACATCCCCAAGAGGTTTTTGGAGAAGGTTGAGGAGCAAAAAACGGCTCCTGAGAAGGTTCTGGAGAGCCTGGATGGGCACAGAACCTTCTCCCGTGGGACAGTGAGACCTTCAAGGTCCCCAAACCACCTGCCATGAAGGTCCCAGCTCCATAACCACCTCCAGAACCAAAGCTGGGTGTGAAAAAGTCACCAAACATCCCCAGGAGGTTTTTGAAGAAGATTGAGGAGCAAAAAATGGCTCAGATGGAACTTCTAGAGAATTTACAAGAGCATGGAACCTCTTGTTCTGAACTAGAAAAGTCAAAAAGGTCCCGAAACTTCTCCCATCGAGGTCCCCAGCTCCATAACCACCTCCAGAACCAAAGTTGGGTGTGAAAAAGTCACCAAACACCTCCAGGAGGGTTTTGGAGAAGGTTGAGGAGCAAAAAATGGCTCCTGTGGAGATCCTGCTTGGACACAAAACCTTCTCCCACGGGACAGAAAAGTCCCAAAAGGTCCCCAAACTTCCCCCATGAAGGTCCCCAGCTCCAGAACCACATCCACAACCAACCCTGGGTGTGGGGAAACCACCAGGGGTCTCCAGGATCCCCAAACCCCACCGTTTCTGGGTGAGGTTCTCCTCCAGGATGTCCAGGTGGACCTTCAGCTCCCATTTTCTCCCCCAAAACCCCGTTTTTTGCCCAAAACTCCATTTTTCCCAATTTTTTCCCCATTTTTTCCCCATTTCTCCCCGTTTTTCCCCAAAACCCCCGTTTTTTACCCCAAACCGCACAGTTTCTGGATGAGGTTGTCCTCCAGGATGTCCAGGTGGACCTTCAGCTCCCATCTTCTCCCCCAACACCCCATTTTCTTACCCAAAACCCCATTTTTTCTTCTCAAAACTCCACTTTTTTACAATTTTTCCCATTTTTTCCCAAAACCCCCGTTTTTTCCCCCCAAACCGCACCGTTTTTGGATGAGGTTCTCCTCCAGGACCTCCAGTTCCTCCAGGATGTCCAGGTGGACCTTCAGGTCCCATTTTCCCCCGTTCCCCTTCTGAAAATCCCCATTTTTTGTGTTTTTTTCCCCCAAAACCCCATTTTTCCTGGGTTTTTTTGCCCAAAATCCCATTTTTTCCCAACTTCTCCCTATTTTTTCCCAAAATCCCCGTTTTTCCCCCCAAACCCACCGTTTCTGGATGAGGTTGTCCTACAGGATCTCCCAGTGCACCTCCACACCTCATCTTCCACCATTTTTCCTTGTTTTTTTTACCAAAAACCCCATTTTTTCCCGATTTTTTCCCATTTTTTTGCTATTTTTTCCCAAAACCCCCGTTTTTCCCCCGAAACTGCACCGTTTCTGGATGAGGTTCTCCTCCAGGATCTCCAGGTGGACCTCCACATCTCATTTCCCCCCCATAACCCCACTTCTTCATGTGAAAATTCCATTTTTTTGCAATTTTTCCCATTTTTATTGCATTTTTTCCCATTTTTTCCCAAAACCGCCGTTCTTCCCCCCAAACCCACCATTTCTAGATGAGGTTCTCATCCAGGATGTCCAGGTGGACCTTCAGCTCCCATTTTCCCCCCCATAACCCCACTTTTTCATGTGAAAATTCAATTTTTCCCCGTTTTTTTCCCATTTTTTCCCCATTTCTCCCCGTTTTTTCCCAAAACGGCCGTTTTTCTCCCCAAACCGCACCGAGAACATTCCTGAATATTCCTGACCATCAATAATTCCATCAAACCATCTCTGAGACCCTCAAGTGACCCTGAGTGACCCTGAGTGACCATGAGCGACCAGCAATGACCAGCAATGACCAGCACTGACCAGCAGTGACCAGCACTGACCAGCAACTGATCCACCAAACCACCTCTGAGATCCTCAAGTGACCAGCACTGACCAGCAGTGACCAGCATTGACCAGCAGTGATCATCAACGGATCCATCAAACCAACCCTGAAAACTTCAAGAGAACGTCACTGACCATCACTGGCCACCACTGACCATCAGTGACCCTCAGTGACCACCAATGGATTCATCAAACTAGCTCTAAGATCATCAAGTGACCATCAGTGACCACCCCTGCCCATCAATGGTTCCAATCAAACCATCATTGAGATCTTTAAATGACCAGCACTGACCAGCACTGACCACCAACCTTTGCATCAAACCACCCCAAGAACATCAGGAGAACATCACTGACCACCAATGGTTCCATCAAACTGACTCTGAGACCCTTAACTGACCAGCAGAGACCATCACCAACCAGCACTGACCATCACTGACCACCAATGGTTCCATCAAACCAGCTCCGAGATCCTCAAGTGACCATGAGTGACCGTGAGTGACCATCACTGACCAGCAGAGACCATCAAGCAAGGTGTGTCTGGGTGTGCTCATGCGTGCCCCAGGTGTATCTATGGGCACTCAGGTGTGCCCCAGGTGTGCCTGCGTGTGCTCAGGTGTGCCCCAGGTGTGTCTGAGAGCACTCAGGTGTATCTCAGGTGTATCTGTGAGTACCCAGCTGTGTCTCTATGTGCCCAGGTGTATCCCAGGTGTGTCTCTGAGCACTCAGGTGTATCTCAGGTGTGTCTATGGGTGCTCAGGTGTGCCCAGGTGTGTCTCTGAGCACTCAGGTGTATCTCAGGTGTATCTCAGGTGTGCCCAGGTGTGCTCACCGTTGATGAGGTAGGGGTGGTTGCAGCACTTGCGCAGCTCCATCATGGTGTTGAGCAGGTTGGGCACGTTGCCGTGCCCCGCCCCGCGCGCCAGGTAGGCGAAGTTGCGCTCCAGGATGGCGCGGTACAGGTGTGCCCAGGTGTGCCCCAGGTGTGGCTGTGAGTGCTCAGGTGTGCCCCAGGTGTGTCTCTGAGCACTCAGGTGTATCTCAGGTGCATCTCTATGTACTCAGGTGTATCTCAGGTGTGCCCAGGTGTATCCCAGCTGTGTCTATGAGTACCCAGGTGTATCTCCATGTACTCAGGTGTATCCCAGGTGTGTCTGAGAGCACTCAGGTGTATCTCAGGTGTATCTCAGGTGTATCTATGGGTGCTCAGGTGTGCCCCAGGTGTGTCTGGGTGTGCTCAGGTGTGTCTGAGAGCACTCAGGTGTATCTCAGGTGTCTCTATGGGTGCTCGGGTGTGCCCCAGGTGTGCCCCAGGTGTGTCTCTGAGCACTCAGGTGTATCTCAGGTGTATGTCTCTGTACTCAGGTGTATCTCAGGTGTGTCTATGGGTACTCGGGTGTATCCCAGGTATGTCTCTGAGCACTCAGGTGTGTCTCAGGTGTATCTCAGGTGTGTCTATGGGTGCTCAGGTGTGCCCAGGTGTGTCTCTGAACACTCAGGTGTATCTCAGGTGTATCTCAGGTGTGCCCAGGCGCGCTCACCGTTGATGAGGTAGGGGTGGTTGCAGCACTTGCGCAGCTCCATCATGGTGTTGAGCAGGTTGGGCACGTTGCCGTGCCCCGCCCCGCGCGCCAGGTAGGCGAAGTTGCGCTCCAGGATGGCGCGGTACAGGTGTGCCCAGGTGTGCCCCAGGTGTGTCTGGGTGTGCTCAGGTGTGCCCCAGGTGTGTCTGAGAGCACTCAGGGGTATCTCAGGTGTATCTCTATGTACTCAGGTGTATCTGAGGTGTATCTCAGGTATGCCCAGGTGTATCTCAGGTGTGTCTATCACTACCCAGGTGTGTCTCTGAGCACTCAGGTGTATCTCAGGTGTGTCTCTATGCATTCAGGTGT